ATGAACTTAGGAGAGTTTATCAGATTACGCTTAAGTTCCATCCTGATATACAAAATCTTAGGAAAATTGATTAAAATAAGAAATTAAATGAAGGGATTTTGTCTTGAATTTAGCAAGAGTTTTTGTATACATACATACATATATATATATATATATATATATATATATATATATATATATATATATATAATGTTAACATTGAAGTCAACACGACGATTGTGTCTAGCATGAAACAGACTCTCGCCTCTAAGTGTTGACTTCTATGTTCACTTTTATATTTACACACGCTCTATCTCTGATATTGAGCACTTTATCCCATAAATATAGCACACCCCAATAGTATATTTCTTCATATATATATATATGTGTGTGTGTATGTGTGTGTGTATGTGTGTGTGTGTGTGTGTGTGTGGTGAGGTAGGGGTAATTTTAAATAAATAAACAGTGGCTGCTGCTGCTAATGTAACGCTCTTCTACTCGAATCGAGCTCTCCTAGCGACTGGCGTCTTTCGCATAGTAAAAACGTTAAAATTTCCCTTTTCGCTCTGGGGGTAGAATACAAATCTGTCGGGTTTTTAACCCCCACCCCAAGAAAAACAAGTAAATAAACACCAAAAAAAGGGTCGAAACTAATTACAAAATGCCATATAAAATCTATTAAGAAATTCAATTAAAACAATAGGTTTATAAATACAACCGAATCATACTATTAATGCCCCTTTAAGAAACCATCAACAAAAAAAAACAAAAAACAAAAAACAAAACAAATAACTAAACACCAAAAAGAACCGTAACTACGACATCAATCAATTAGAATTGTATCAGAAAGAAATAAAAAACAACGGAGTCTGATAAAATTAGCCATTGTAACTAGACAAAAAAAACCCCAACAAAACAAAAAAAAAAAAAAAAAAAACAACCCAACTTTACACGATTCCAAAAACTTGACATATAACAAATACCCCTACTTCCATCGAAGCAGTGACCTCTTGATAATGAAAAACAAACCCCAGATTACATCTACATTTCAAAACTATGAATGAGTAAAACATTTCGTTGCGTTGTTATTCCAAACATCTCTTGAGGATGAAATTGCCACAAAATAGTTAAGGTTTAATATTGAAATTAAATTTGAATACGGATGAACAGTTTCGCTACATAGTAATTTCTGTGTCGCGATGGAATCATATTTTTTTTTTAAATAATCATATTTTAGGCTCTACATCTGTATCACCCATTGTTTTTTTTTAAATAAATCTAAAATACTAAAGAACTTCGGATCATCAATCTAACAGTTCTTTCTTATTATATCAACACATACATATATATATATATATATATATATATATATATATATATATATATATATATATATATATATATATATATATATATATGTCAGGGGCTGCATTTAGACCTTAAGCTTTCTGCCTTTATATATATATATATATATATATATATATATATATATATATATATACAGATTAATATGGGTGTGTGTGTTTGTTTTCAGTGTTAAGTCAGCCGTTTACCTATCTATATTATTTATAGATGACTCATTTTCTAAGTCGATATTAGCTTAATATCCATTAGAACCCGCTCATAAATTCATACTCCTCCGCATACCCCAGTTCGCTGGCCTCACCCAATCAGAGTTATCTATTAACCCCAACGCCCTTTACCGTTGCTCCGGATCGAAGTGGCCATTTTTGGGATCCTTCCCGACAAGGACATTTCATTTTGAGAGGTTTGCGAAAATGAAATTAGTCATAAGACCTTTTTATTACCCTTCCTCTTGTTTTTCTCTTCATTTTTGTTTATTTTCTTTTTCTTTATCAGCCTTTTTTTTTTGTTTTACTATTTTTTTTTTTGAAAACATGCACCGAAAACTTACCCGCCCATTTCGTTTGTGTTCATTTTTGTTTTTCTTTCTTTACGCAAACTAAAAATTAAATAATTAATGAATTATGAAAAATTTCAAGAGAAACAAACATAAAATAATGTATCCGAGATGGGGGTGCTGAAAATATTTCGATCTGATCAACCTCCTTAAGTCTGACCAAAATTTACATAAAAGCAAACACCCCAACACAAAAAACAAAGAAACCGACAGTAAATTCTCAAATTTAGAAACAAAATTATTTCATGAATTAAAAGAAAAAGCGATGACACAAGTTGATGCGTGAAGACGCGATATTTGATAATGGATGAAATTGATATAATACAAAGTAAAATATCTTTGATAATGGTTTAGGAAAGACGAAAGTACTCTGACATTGGAACAATTTGTAGATAGATATTCACCAGAAAGCAGGAAAAGTAGAAAAAAATTCTCCAAAAAGAAATTTATTTAGTTTTTAATCAAACACTGTATATTTCGTCTAACGACCTTCCCAGTCGAGAAAGCTTAAAGAAAACATGCTCTCTCTGTCAACCCCTTGTCCCTATATGTAGAAGAAATCACAATCCGGGCATTTATGCGTTGGACCTCTGGGCAACACATAGAGCCACACCGTAACCAGTTTCTATTTTAAGGAAAGCACATCTCTTCGTTCTGATATTGATATATATATATATATATATATATATATATATATATATGTGAAGATGATTTCAAAATATTAGATAAGCCCGATGGAACGATTTTCCCATATAAACAGTTCGTTAAGAAAATATTTTGAAATCATCTTTACATATTTTCCATGAATATATATATATATATGTGTGTGTGTGTGTGTATTAAGAAATGGACAAGGTCCGACAATTTATTTATTTATTAAAGACATTTTTATGTTTAACGTTGTTATTTTATAGATACAAACATAAAAATGTCTTTAATAAATAAATAAATTGTCGGACCTTGTCCATTTCTTAATATATGACGTCATTTGTTTACATTTGATACGCCAGAGCAGTTATGAATGTACGAGATTCATTGTGGATTGAAGTTTATAAGCAGTAAATTCGACCTTGTCTACCGAAAAGGTTCTTTGTAGCCTAGAGGTAAGGCACGTCAGCGTATATGACGGTTCCGTATAGGATGCAGGTTCGAATCCTGTCAAAGAACGAATATTTTCTATGAAAATTTCTCGGACATTCAGGCCGGTAAATGTTATTTAATACTGTTTATCATAAAACAGAGCATTTGCTTAAATACTTGTATCTATAAAAGAAAAATGTCTTTAATAAATAAATATGTTTGTGTAGTACTTAGGCAGCAATCCATCTTTCATGCACATTTCAGTGAATACGACAGATAAGGTGCTTCGATTTAGTTTTTTTTATACAATTTCTCATGTGATGTAATAATTTTTTCTTTTCAGATGACAAATTATATATATATAAAAAAAATAGCATCATCTACATGCAAAAAAGCTAATTAATAAAAACAAAAAACAAAAAAAAACAACACTTAATAATATCAACTATGAACATGGACACAATATCTTGACCATGTTTTGAAAAATGAAATAATTATAAAAATAGATACATACAATCTATTTCTTATTTAACAGTTAAAACATTTCATCCTTGAAAATGGCTAAATGTATAGCCGAAAGCGCCCGGAAGAAAAAAACATTCGGACAGTTTTTATATAATTTATCATCTGAAAAGAAAAAAATTATTACATCACATGAGAAATTGCAAAAAAAATAAATCAAAGCACCTTGTAATATGAAATATATATATATATATATATTAAGAAATGGACAAAGTCCGACAATTTATTTAATAAAGACATTTTTATGTTTAACGTTCTTTTTTATAGATACAAGTATTTAAGTAAATGCTCTGTTTATAATAAACAGTATTAAATAACATTTACCGGCCTGAATGTCCGAGAAATTTTCATAGAAAATATTCGTCCTTTGACAGGATTAAATATATATATATATATATATATATATATATATATATATATATATATATGCAGTGTATTTTCATTCAAACTCCCTGAAGATGACCTCAGATAAGATTGAAAGTAGTTGTGAAAATAAAAACTATTTTAAAGAACATTTTTGTATCTCCCTTATAAAAAACTGCCGTAACATTTGTTTTGAGAAACTGCACATTATTAAGTTCCTAAATAATAAAAATCTATTAAACAATAGACATGAGTTAACGGTTTTTGCCGACATCATCAAATTTTTGCATTGCTTGTATCGAGCACTATTTTTTAAAAATAATACAAAAATACTAAAGAACTTTGGATTATTTACCTAACCAGTTCTTTTCCTATTTTCTATATATTTTCACAAACACACACACTCACACACACACACACACACATATATATATATATATATATATATATATATATATATATATATATATATATATATATATATATATATATTCGTTATATTAATTAAATTTACACGCTTATATATTTTTTTGATTCCAGAAAAATAAAACTTGATAAGTCCTGGGACGAAAGTGGTTGTTCTTTTTTTAGCTTTTAAAATGCCATATAAATTCTGCTTATTTCTAGCTATTGTTAAATTTTGTACCATAAAAAAACTTATTCAAATGTGTGTGTGTTTCTCTCTCTCTCTCTTTGTGTGTGTGTGTATTAAACCCTGTATTTTACGAATCTAACGAACAGTAACAGAGATGAATCGATTGAACGTATGCCGGGTAGAATTTTGAAAAGCAAAATTCAAAGTTTCTTTTAAACTTCCAGTGATCAAATCAGGTAATATAAAAAAAATCGAAATCAAAATTCGGTATTGATTATATGTTTGTTCAATATAAACCATTATTTAAGATTATACATAAAATAGCATCTTACTTATCAGAATATAGATTTCCATAATTGACTTTAGATCCGAGTGTGTGTCATTGTCAGAAAGGATTAAATACCAATACGAAAAATGAGATAATAATTTGATAATCATTTATTATTGAATATTGTCTTTTTAACCTTTTTTTGCTAAAAAGTAGACAAAATATATAATAAAATAAACCCTATTAATTTAGCTTTGGACATCTTATCCCCCATGATATCCGTTAGAGGAAGGACTAGTGACCGCCTGAGATTCCAATTCAACTATGGTCTGTTTATTCACCGAATTACGTGTAATGGAAGTCGTTAGTTTCGAAATCAGAAAAAAAAGTACATTATCGCAGCCACGAAGGTAGACAGAATCATAGGATTATAATCACATCTATCTATCTATCTATCTATCTATCTATCTATCTATCTATCTCAGTCTCTTTCTTTCAGTTTTTCTATCATCTTATTTCCTTATCTATCTACTTACCCCTCTCTCTCTCTCTATCTATATATATATATATATATATATATATATATATATATTAATTATATATATATATTATTAAACAATTCACAGACTATCATTATTGTTTTGTCTGTGTATTGTTTAATATATTGTAATGTAATTGTCATCTTTGATAATGTCATGTAAGCCGAAAGCTTAGATAGGATTAAAAAATACTTCTCGTTTTCACTCTCGCGTGGTCATGTGTGACGTCATGAGCTGCGGTGCGATTTTCGCTTTCAGCGTCTCGTATGCACGAGTTTGTCGTCGCTTGGAAATCTTCCATGTAAACAAAACAGACTATCATTACATATATATATATATATATATATATATATATATATATATATATATATATATATGATATGATATATGATATGGGATGTTCTGTAGGTCCCCTGCGAATATGCGATATTATGATATCTGCAGGATTGAGTGGTGATGGATGGGTTTTTGTGGTGAATGAACAAATTGTAAGGAATGAATGGGTCGTGTTTCTGATTAACTAGGATAGCTAATGAAGACTAGCCTCTCCCCATTTTAACTTCGGCCATGTGCCACAATTTTGTATTTTTACAAAATAAATATATCCATATATATATGATATGATATAGATGAACGCTGATGTCGGAGTAAACGGTCGTGTTTTTTTTTGTTGTTCAAAGAAAGCAATGTCATATTTAAAGGAAAGTCTTGATTGTTTTACTTTTAATCATCCATTATTCTTATAATTTTCAATCGTTTATTATATTATTTTATAACATTTGTTACGTTATTATTTATTTACAGTGTTTAATATACGTATTTTAAAATCTTTTGTTGATATTTGTTTATCTAAAGATAAGTCGTGGTATATAACTATTTTTCTTTTTTCTTTCTTTCTTTTTTTATTTAAAAAAATTGTTGTTTAGCAAGTGTAATATATTAAGTCTATCCCGCTAAGAGTTATATATATATCAAGAACATTTAATGTATTGTATTTGTTAAATGAATTATATCGCAGCATGAAGAATTCTGATCTATTTATATTTAAGCGTAACATTTATTACTCTGTTGTTTTTGCGAAAGTGGTCGTAATTTTCGGAATTAGAGGAAAGCATTTTTGTAATGTTTATTTTGTTTATCTTTGACTATTGGCTCATTATCGCCGATTTCCATATTCAAAGATTCTTTTAATAACATTTGGCATGAATTTTATTTCTTAATATTTTCGTATTTATTAATTGGAAATAATGTAATTTCAATTTTGTTGAAAAAGCGCTCCCAGTCATAATGTTATTCGGTTTCGTTTTTACTACTAGTCAACAAAAACAACAACAATAATAATAATAATATAATATTCTCATATATTTGATAATAATTTTATACTTTATTATTATTATTATTATTTTAAATGTATAACGATATATTGGCACATTGATGACGATCTGTGTTTAACATTTTTAACATTTAACATTTTTATCGACAGGTCCAGAAAGTGTGGATGATCCTAGACAAGCCTTCATTACTTTAAACAGATCATTGTATTGGTTTTCTGACAACTACATCTAATGAGTTCCACACAATTCACCAATAACAATGGCTGGCCAAAGCCATAACAGAAAAACAAAACTTAATGAAAATAACTGAAATATCACAGACTAATGGCAATAAGGGCTCTGGAACATTAAGTGAAGGGGTCTGGCCTGGCAGATGTCCGACGGCATCGCAGCGTGGACCCGGTCGTCATCCGGCTACTACGAAAAACACTACGAAACAGCATCAACTTCATCTTGGCTCTTGGAATGTACGAACTCTCCAGGATAACACCTCATCACCAGAAAGAAAGACAGCTCTGGTCGCAATGGAGCTAAAGAAGTACAACATTGATATAGCTGCGATGAGTGAAACTCGTTTTCCTGGTGTATCACAAGTGGTAGAGAGAAAAGGTGGGGTACACCTTTTTTCTGATCTGGCAATGATGAACACGAGTTGCGACAATCGGGTGTAGGTTTTGCTATCTAATCAAAGATTGCGTGATCATTACCTTCTCTGCCTAAGGCTGTTTGGCTGTTTCTGATAGAATAATGACTCTCAAAATTGACCTTGATCACAAAACTACTGGTCAGTTGTTACGCTTCGACCATGAACAGCACTGAGCACGTGAAGGATTACTTCTACAATCAACTTCGGTATGTGATATCTACCTGTGACCATAGGGATAAATTAGTTCTTTTGCGGGACTTCAACGCCCGTGTTGTTTCTGATCATCAGACATGGAAAGGTGTCATTGGTCGTCACGGTCTTAGGCGAATGAATTCTAATGGTCTGCGATTACTCTCTATGTGTAGAGAATTTGATCTCAGTATCACAAACACTCTATTTCAGCAGCCCAGCTGCTGCAAGTTCTCATGGATGCATCCCAGATTCAAAGATTGGTATCTTATTGACTTTTTTATTATCAAGCAGAGAGATGTTCGAGACTTTCTCATCACACACTCTTTTCATGTCACCTGTTACCTCTCTGACCACATTCTACTTCGCAGCAAAGTTATGTTTCGTCCTAAACGTAAACGGTTACAAAAGTCATCCATACCAAAACGCATTAATGTCTCATTGCTGAAAAACCATCAAGTGAAAGCCGATCTTTCTGATAAACTGCTCTTCGGGCAGTTATTATCACTCTTGACGTTAAAGGCATTCCGTGAAGCAACTCATGCTGACTCTCTGGAAGTTCTCGGACTTCCACTGGGAAAACATCAAGATATGTTTGATGAAAATGATACTGAAGTTCAAAAACTGATTGATGAAATGCATAATTATCATCAGATCTGGGTAAATCACAAAAACTGCCGGTCAAAACCAGACAACAACAAAGTGCATAAAGCAGGAGTATAACATGCCCTCAGACAAATGAAAGAGAGTTGGTGATCAGCCAAGGCTGCTCAACTCCAAATGGCTGCTGACAAAAAGGACTCAAAAGCTTTTTATGATGCTTTAAAAGCAGTGTATGGTCCCCAAAAGATTGGTGTCTCTTCAATTCTAGCCAATGGCGGGGATACTCTCCTAACTGATAAAAAAGCCATACTTCAGCGCTGGAGAGATCATTTTGAAAGAATTCTCAACAGCACCTCAGTCACAGATGATTAAGCTCTATCCGCTGTAACACAACATCCTGAAGTTCCTGAGTTATCTCTTGAACCCATGTTTCTGGAAGTGCAAACTTCTATCAAGCAGATATCCCCAGGAAAAGCTCTTGGCGAGGATGCTATCCCTGTTGAAATCTACAAACATGGAGGGCATACACATTGTAAGCTACTGCACGATCTGTTCATTCACATTTGGAGATCAAATCATGTTCCTCAGGACTTCAAAAATGCCGCCGTGAAACACCTCTACAAGAAAAAAAAAATCTTAAAACAGTATGCGATAACTATAGGGGCATCTCACTTTTATCTATCATCGGAAAAATTTTTAACTTAACAGAATTATAAAAGACATTGTCGACGCCATCTACACTGAATCTCAGTGTGGATTTCGCTCCGGAAGTGGCACTATCGACATGATTTTTGATCTACGTCAGGTTACAGTGAAGGTTCGGGAGCGAAACAAGGAGCTAATTATTGTATTTGTAGACTTTACTAAGGCCTTTTATACTGCAAACAGAGAAGCACTCTGGAAAGTTCTGAAAAAACTTGATATTCCTGACAACATTTTGAATGCCATCATTTCATTTCATGTCGGTATGCAATCTAGTGTTATATCTGATATCGTTCTGATCCATTTGATGTCACTAATAGAAGTAAACAAGACTCTATCATGGCGCCTGTTTTGTTTGCACTGTTCTTCTCGGGGAAGCTGAGGTATGCTTTTTGGGATACAAAAACTGGCGTTAAATTTCATTTTCGAACTAATGGAGGACTGTTTAACTATCAGCGGTTTAAGTTCAAAACACTTCTACGTACGAGTATTATACGCGATCTACTTTTTGCAGACGACGTTGCCCTTGTAGCTAACTTTTTAGAGGAAGCTCAAGATTTACTGAACCGGTTTTCTGCGGCATGCAAGGCATTCAGACTTACCATCAGCATCAAGAAAACTGAAGTTTTTTTTATTAACCTTGCCCGACACCGAAGCAAATTAGAGGTGTAAAACAGAGACCCCCTGTTCGTAACTTTCCTGAGGCCGCTTTACAAGTTGATGGAAAGAATCTCAAGTATGTGTAATTTTTTAAATATTTCGGAAGTATGGTAAATTCAAGTGCATCACTTGATGCTATGATTGTTAATCGCATTGCAAAAGCTAGCGCTTTGGTTCGCTGCGCCATAGGTTGTGGTACGAAAGGAGAATAAAGCTTTGCACTAAAATCCAAGTGTAGAGAGCTTTCATTTTTCAACTCTTTTGTATGGCTCTGAAACTTGGACAACTTATAGATGGCACATTAATCGATTAGATGTCTTCCATAAAGGTTGTCTCCGTACAACCTGTGGCTTAACGTTTGATGATCGACTGTCAAATGCTGACTTTTTTGAGAAATGCAAGATTGGTACCATCGAGACCTTCATAATGCAATCACAACTACGTTGGCCTGACCCTGTGGCAAGGATGAGTGACGATCGCATACCAAAAGTTCTTTCCTACAGTGAACTCCATAGCTGTCATAGAAATGTTGGTAGACCTTGGCTCAGGTATAAAGATAAACTGAAGAGCAACCTTTCCATTCAAGAACTTTGAAGAGGTAGCTATGAAGAGATCAGAGTATCATTTCAGCTGCCATTCAGGAATAATGCATCATCAAGAAGTAAGTATTATTCGACAATCATTCTTAGAACAATAAGACATCTAACAGTGTTCCTGCTGCACTTGGATACAATACATTCTCCTGTACTATTTGTGGTCTTCTGTGCAATTCTCGAGTTGATCTCAAAAATCATGGCCGCCATAGGCATGCAGATAATTACTTCG